TGTCAGGGTTGGGGAAAAATAGGACCCAAATGCAGATTGAGGAGGAAGCAGGTCCCAAAAGGAAACAAAAGGCGAGCTTTATTTAACAAAAGCTGAACAAAACAAGAATCCATGAACAGGTACGAGGTAGCATCCAAACAACGGGGACTATGACTAACATGAAGGGGGACATGAACGACAAATAATGAACCAACACTGAACACAGGAAGAGACAAGACTAAATACAGGGAGGGGTAATCACGAGACGAGAAGCAGCCGGGCAGGGAAGGAGAAACACAAGGGCAACAGGTGAACACAATCAGACACACCAGGGAAACTAACGACAGGGAGGAAGACAAGACACAGGGAGAACAGAATTGCAAAATAAAACCATGACAAGACAGACCAAACAAAACCGTGACATAAAACTAAGATCGTGACAGAGACACTAAATACAAATGTGAACCTGAAAGGAGCGGGGCCCCTTTCTTATTGGAGTTCTTATCTGCTGATTTTTCAGTAGTATTTCAGATACAAAACTTCAAAATATCATCATATCTTGTAAAAAAACACAATTTATCTCCCTGGGTTCAAATGAAGACAAAGTGAAATGTTCCTATGAATAAACAAGAGTCTAAAGGACCCGATCAATTTGGTAATTTGTCACCTGCTCCAATCAGGCGTGTTGTAAGAGACACTTAAAGAAGGCATACATAGTGTAACATCCTACAGTAGCAGAGTGAACATGGCTTGTTTTTAGCTGCAGATCTTTTCTGACAGTGAGTCAGCATTTCACTTTTCACAGACCTTCAGCACAGACATGCTTCCCTCTAGTGGTAAAAAGAATCCTCTAAACTCACTACAAATTGGTGGATGATGTAACGTTAAATATGAATGCATGACAACGTCTCCACAGGTTATGGCTTCAGACCAGCCAGAAAGGTTGGGGTTCTTCACAAAGCAAATATTTAATCATAGACGTTACATTAGTATAAAGTAATACATGTTCATAGCAGACAATTCTGCACAATACAACATTTAATTAAGTTACTTTAAGACAAATGTGACATCAATAAGTATTCATTATTCCTGAGGATGTCCCTAGTATTTAACTTCTAAACTCAAACCCTCCAGTCACACATTGGTTTTGTCCCTTTTCTTTCAAACTATTTGCAGATTAAATCATGTTGATCCCCACACAACCTCGTTAAGATTTAGCAACTGTAAATGTGCCTCTACTTTGCCATCTGCTGGACAAGCGATGTTAAAACACACACTGAACAAACTGAAACGTTGACTTTAATTACTTTTATTTTGTCAACTTATTTCACATAACTGTATTAGGTTAGTTGAAACCGATACTCTTAAGTTGATCCTAAAGCTTTTTATTTAAACCTAATATAATTGCTCTCAACCTACCTTACACATTTATGTGAAATCTGATGACATAATATATTTAATTCAAGTAAACATTTCAGTTCTATCCCCGTGCGTCTTGGGTTGAATTAGAAACCCATCCAAACAGACAAGTCCCTGCGCTTCTCCTGTTTTTTTTTAGTTTGTATTATTTGATCAAGTCTATACTCATTCAAACTCAAAAAGCTGTACAAACTGAATATGTGCATTTGAATAAAACGTTGTGCATTTAAGTCTGAATATGTCAAGTCTTCATAACAAAACAATCACCAAAAAAATCTAAGGAGAAAGTGTAAGAATTAAAAGGGCAAAACTGTATCTTATTGTGTTTTGGTGCTTTTAAGACCTCTTAACACGTGGCTTGTGTGGTCCTTATCATTGTACGATTCCTATGATGATGTTTTATTGTTTTGGCAAGCACTTTGTGACTTTGTCTGTGAAAAGCGCTTTATAAATAAACGTTATTTACTTACTTATAAACGCCTTTATCCCAACAGAGCCGGCCAGCCAACCAATCAGAGCAGAAATGGACTCTGGTTTCAGACAGAGGGTGAACAGAGGTTCTGCAGCACAGGCAGTATGAGACAAATAAAGAGCTTTTTGAACATGAAAGCATGGAGACATGTCCCAGTAGAGACACTCATACTTATCAACCCTCCCGATTTTCGCGGGAGACTCCCGATTTCATTGCCCTCTCCCGGTTTCCTCCCGGGGTCATATTTCTCCCGCATTTCTCCAGATTTCTGACAAAATCAGATTTACTCAGGACTGTTTCCACTCGGACTTTAATACAGCTACACCATTGTTTGGTTTCCATGGTAACACGTCTCTTTAGTAGCGCGCGCAACTCAAAGTCTGAGAGGGTGAGGCAGA